AAAAAAAAAAGTGAATATTAAAGTATTAGTTTGTGCAGCCCAACAGAAATGACAAACTTAACACTTATGAAGCACAAATAACTTTCATTTGCAGTATTCCCTTGTAGAACCAAACAGCTTTTCATGAGAACACACCCTGTGACTGTTCCTCTAGCTTGCTGACACTGAAAAAATACAACACTGAAGTTGTGGTCATCTGCAATTCCCATCACGTTTGACAAATGTCATTTATGGCGAAAACAAGCTTATAAAAGTGCAAGCAGAGGCTAAACACAAAGGCCTTCAAGCCTGATATGCAAGGTCTCCATATGGAAATACCTGCAGAGAAGTGGGACTGATTCTCTCCATCTGTGTTATGGCAAGCATTCCCCAGGAAGAAAGCAATACATTTAGGAATGTTTATTCGAATACACAGACATCTCTGTTTCTGATGACTTCCCATTGTTCACATTCCAATGCTAGTTTCCATTATTTAGTGGGTAAAAGGCTAACTCATTAACCAATGCCTTTATAAACCTACACAAAAATACAGCATATAAAAGTGAAGTGTAATTAGCTACTCAATTAAATGAACAAACTTTTAACATGTTTCTGGCAAATACAGTATGGAAACGTGTAATCCTTTTATTGGCAGTTGTGGATATTTTATTACATAATCACATTTGGAGGTCCTCTAAAAACAACATTATGAAAGCAATTCCAGATCGCATTGTGAAAAATTCAGGGCCAATAGCTGCTGATTAGAAACAGGGGAACATACGGAAATGAGATTACAATCCCTTTGGGGACTGCTATTTATATTAATGTAAATAAACAAATTAAGATAGCAGGAAGTCCACTCAGACCCACATGTTCCCAGTGTTCCATTACTGTGTGATGAAAATAAAATAATAATGTATGCTGAGTTGACTGGAAAAGAATGCTGAATGGATCCAAGTTACTTGGCAAAGAGGATCAGTAAGTGCTGACACAGCTCAATGAATAGAGCTGTCTGCAAGTACTGCACAGATGCACTCAGGATCTTTAGAAATCCTTTCCTAATGTAAGAATAGAGAGGTTGAAATTTATTTATAACAATGTCGCTGACCGTTTTAGTCCGAACTTCACAGTTTGAGCAGCACATTTATGTGCCAGTTGTTTTGGGAACCTTTCTAAATGTGATGCAGCTTTGGAAAAAGACTTATTTAAGGATGGGACAGGGAAGATAACACTGGACTTAACATCAAACATGCAGCTTGTAGCTATGTGCAGCAGTGCTTAAATGTAGTCTTAAATGAACAGCAGTCACCAAACCAAACTAAACCAACCAAACCAAAACCAAAACAAAAGAGAGAAGTTTAATTCAAAGCATCAGAGAAAACAAAATTCTGAAC